CTATCTTTGCTAAACGATATGGTTCGGCCGAGTGAGCCTGCAACATGGCTCTGCCCAGTTTTTGATTTGTCGAATAAAATCACCGACGTGGTTGAGTACATCAGGGATGATGATGAGTTTGGAGCTGCATCGGTATCGATGTCTCTTAACAGGTATCTCATTGAAAGCTTTTCTTAATTATCTATCACTTCCATGATCCTTCTAAGGTCACCTGCAATTGAATCCACGAGCATCCGCGGTTCTTCCAGTAACGTGCCATTCTACCCTGGTAAGACCCTCAGTTTGTATTCTTCAAAACACGTTAAATGGAAGCTGCTAATTGAGGCGGTTTTGATAGCGCATTTGGCAATGTCATGTCGTTTGCGAAAGAGGAGGACAACCAGAACTCTGATGAGAAAGAGTTCTTCAGATATGATGGTGCGTGACGATAGAAGAATATTTGTTCTAGTCAATACAGAAGATGTTGCAGATCTCTTATCTTGTGCTCCTGGTATGCCTGGTGGTATTAGTTTCTTGCCACCCGCTGAATCGCTTGCTCATATATCGAAACCGAACGATTCAAGTTTAACCAGCGGGAATATCGATTTTGATTCTACTGATCTGTTTGAACTTATGGACTTTGTTGGAGGGGGTGAGATTTGCAGTTTTTCATGGATTGGTGATATGGTAAGATCTGATCTTCAGTCTTTTTGAGGTTCTCCCTTAGTGATCCCATTGGAGAGCTCCATCTCTAATGAAGTGCAGATTAATGATGAATCTGAAGTGGACATGATATCGAATGTATCCAAAGGAACAGAATCTTCCGGTGTCAGCGAAGAAATTGAGGTGCTATTGCCAACCAATTTTTAAAAATATTTCCGTTATCATTTATTTAGGTGGCTCTGGAAACTCCACTGTCGAAGCCTACTCTGAAATTTGTCCCTCCCGAGCGCTTTGCCTATGCAAAGCAGCTGGATCCAGCATCATGCGAGGGAGAGTATAGGGCATTGTTGCCAAATATGGCCAAAAAGGTAGTCATTTTTGATGCATAAATATTTTATGATTAGTTAGCCTGCTCAGCGTATGTTTTCTCTCTTGAACCTGAGATCTAAAGTTTCTTTTGTTATAGCCACATCCGACTTTACATTTTTCAAATATTTGATGAGATAATGTCTTCTTTAGTATCCTTTCGAGCTGGATGGCTTCCAACAGGCTGCTGTGGTTTGTATGGAGAAAGGGGAATCCGTTTTTGTTGCCGCTCACACCTCAGCCGGAAAGACCGTTGTTGCAGAATACGCAGTAGCTCTATGTGAACATCATCGAACGAGGTTATTTTATGACGCTAGGGTCCAGATACCTCTTCGAGAGCAAACAGAAGGAAATAGGCGATGCTCAAAATTGAGAAGTTGTGAATGAACAAAAAGTACCTGTGTTTGAAGATCTAAAGCATGTACGCAAAAGACACCTTTCCTTTAGAAATTTTCCCTCATGAAGTTTCAATCAAAAATATAGAGAGCGTTTTAATCTGCTTATTAAGAAGTGTCTAATCTTTAGGTCTCTATCCTGATTGAGGCGATAGAAATACATACTCCTCAGTGTTACAAGGCAACCCATTTTAGAGTTTTTTAGAGCAATTTACACATCTCCCATCAAAGCGCTATCAAACCAGAAATTCCGAGATTTCAAAATGATGTTCACAGATGTTGGTTTGGTCACTGGCGATATTCAGTTGTTCCCTGAGGCATTCTGTCTCATTATGACTACAGAAATCTTGAGGTAAATTCTT